TATAGCTCAAAGATGCTCTTTGCCTCTGTAAATGTTTAGCTAGCTGTTAAAACTAAGGTCTTGGCTCTACTTACACATTTGCTAGGATAGATTAGTATTAGAAAACCTCTTTTGTAGAGGTGCAGCTTAGAATTGCCAAGGATTTCTTTTGATGGTACAGCTGAATCCATGTCCCTGAAAATAATCTCTGCCAGTTGAAGACTACTTTATGCTAGAATAACTGCACGTACACTAGGGTGTTTATTAACAAAGCTATGTTGACCAGCAATGGGGAGGGGATTTATGTGTCTGAAAAAATTATACCTGTAGTTCATAGACATATTCTCAGAAAATTGCAGCACCTCCTGGGCCTCCTACATTAATGGCACCAGCTTAAATTTTTACATTAATGACAGTAAGAGTAGCTAATATTATAGGTGTACTTTAAAAATTCTGAACCATATTGTTAATTTATGACTACTTTTTAAAATATTCTTAAGATGATTTCCTGTTTATAATTTATGCAAAAAGCAAAAGTGTGCAGGGAAGGACTAAATGAATAGTATTTTCGTAATAGGGTTTTCAGATATTTTGTAAGCTTTTGTGTTTATGTGCGGATCACACCCTAATTGAGTTAAAGCAGTGATTCCTATGAGAAGCAATTACTGTGTTAATTTGATACTTAGAGTGAAGATCGTGACTTTGTCTTTACTACAGTTAATTATTTGCCATATTAATAAACTTGCATAAGCAGTTAAGAATCATGAACCTCCTGACTCTGGAGGTTCTTTCCAGTAAAATAAAACTAAAGAGCCAACTTTCCTAAAATCAAGGAGATATAGAGCTTTCTGAAGTTGCATTTGAATCCCCTGGAGGGGATTCTGCTGAATGATTACCTATCTAAATGACCAGTACTCATTCTACTGGAGTAGTTGGCTAGATTATTTCCTTTAACAAAGTTTCCAGCTCCTGGAACTTGATAAGCCCTCAGCTGGCTGCTTACAGTATCCTTAAATTATAGAACATAAACAGGAACCCATAAAAGTATTAGAAAAAGCAGTTCCATAGCCCTCTCAGAACTCTCATTCAGTTTGCCTCCTTGGTGATAACCTGCTGCATGCTTAAAGATGGTGTGCAGACCACCAGGTGGTCTTTCATAATGTTCTGCATTTATTTAATGATTGACTTCCCAGAGGACTACCATAAAATTTTCTAAAGCTCCTAAAATATCTGAAAAGATTACTTTTAAACCTGACTTAAAAAAAAAAATAAAAGTCTCTAGTGAAAATGAATAAAATTTACTTTAAAATACAATGGAGTTGCTACCCTCTCCTCAAAATGGTTTTATTTTCCTAGACAGAATATTTAATTTTGTAACAGTTGATGCCTCAGCATAGTCACCTGAATCATACTGAAATTGCATGTCTAAAATAAATGTTAATACCTTCGAAATTTTTATCCTCAGTGCTTTTAATCAGTACAACTCAAAACTTAATCATCAAACAATTATATGATTTTTGTTTAAATTAAAAAATTGAGTCAACATGAATGTTAGTGTTCATACATCTTACATGAACTGAAGCCAGACTAAACTTTGTAAGTTAGTGGCTGTCTGGACACTGTGAAAACAATATGTTTTTTTTGAAAACTGAAACAGTGAGAGTAACCAAGAGCTTTCTATGTGTCCTTTAAGAATTTGAATTCCAGCAGTCATAGTGTCAGTATTGAACTGCCCAGCTTCTTATTTGCTTGACGCAGCAGTGTTTTTTACCTTGCCCGTATGCATCACTTGCCTCTTGACTTCTGATACTCAGACAGAACTCTTGTGCATGAGAAGTAGCATTTCTTGGATTGTGTGATTTCCTGGTGAAAAGTAACGAAGTCTCTTTGCTGTTGAAACTCATGTTTTATTTCTTTTTTCACCTAAGTTTTAAAACTTTGAGAATTAAAGCAAATGAAACTGTATCAGATAGTTTAAGTACTAAGTCTTCACAGTAGTCATGTTGCATTTCTGCTTATTTATTTATTTCTGCTTATTTATGAAGAGGCAAGTCATACGCAAAACTTCCTTGGCAGAAGGAACCCTAGATAAAGAACTAAACACAAACAGCAAAACTGGTTACAGTGACAGCAATGTTCTAGTGTTGAAACAAGCAGATTATTATTGTAAACTGTTCTTGGGAACAAATGATTGTTCACTACTGACAATTCTAACCATCTGGTGAAACTGCCTTTTCACTTTTGGCATAGTTTTCTTCCCTGTTTCTCTTTGTGCACCTTTTTTGGTGATTTTTTTGTAGACCAATGTCTTTCTGGTCTGTTCCAACGAGCCATTGGCAATTTCCCCCAAGAATACAAAGAAATATGTTATTATATGTAGTATGTCATTGTCCTGAAGTGAAAAAGGGGGTAAAGGGGTCCTCATCCTGTTATAACTTGAGGGAGATTTAATGTGTATGCAGCTATGTATAATTTCACCACTTTTAAGGCTCACAGTCTTATCTGCTACCAGTGAGTTGTACATAAGATGCATAATAGAGACATTATCAATACTCAAAGGCAGGAAGAGTAGTCAGTAGGTACTTGGCAGTTACAGAGGCACATGTAGGGATGCATGCACTTACATCTCAGCAGTTACCAGGACAATCAACCCTTTCATCAAGGTCTTGACCTATTTTCCAAACTGAGATTCATAGTAAACAATGAAAAATGATCTCTGAAGATCATGTATACCCAAATATCACTGAAGATAATAAGGAAATGGTAACCATTGAATTCACATTCAACACTGGCCTATGTATCAAAAGACAACCTGAAGTCTTATTGTAATTCTGCTGAATTTGAGGTAAGTTGACAGTGTTGCAGAAGATGCTGATGTTTGCTGATACACAGATTTACTGCAGTGAGTAGGGACTGTGTTCTCCTATTCCAAGCATCAGAGAAAAACAATGGCCACTGCTTTCTCCCAGTTGTTATCAGAAGCCACTCTGTAATTAAACCATGGCATGACTGGCTTTCCAGTCTCGTCCCCATATCTTGGAATGTGAGAACTTCTCTTACCAATAAAGAGGAAAAAGATTAAACCCACTGTTTTGGAAAACAAATGAGTTTTCAGAGTGATATTATCTATCAGTAATAGTCCTGTTGGCTGTCCACTGACTTTCTTATCCTACATCCACCTCACTGGCACTTTGAGAGGGAACAAAATAAACACGAGTTAGAGAATTTAGCATTAACTGTACTTGATGCGAAACAGCAGAAAAGTAAAATTAGGACCATCTGTTCCAGGAGAAGGATTGGGCAGAGCCTCTGGCAATGCTTTCTTTGTCTGAAGTCCTGAGATTTCTTTTATGTCATTCCCACAATTGCTTTGATTTGCAAGAGAGTATTCATCACCAGGAAGTCAGGGCTACTTTAGTGATAGGCTGCTATTGCTAAGAATAGGTTTGTCTGTCAGACTTACTGCATACATCCAGATAGGCTGCCGTGTACATTCCCATTTTCTTGTACATTGTTTTCATTGTGCTCTGCCCCATGGCAGAAACATGCATAAAGCCCTGCTTGGCAAATTAAGTCTGGGGAGAGGAAGTCTCTGTTAAAAAAAAAAAGCTTTTCTCTACTGCAGTACAAAATACAACCTCAGAGATGTATCAGTTTAAAGAATTCTGTCCCATCTCAAACTCTTAAAATGGACAGGATGATTATTCACCTGATTCAATACCCAGCTGGCAATAGTATCCATCTGACATGTTTCAGACCCAATGCCCCTCAGTGACGCCATGTTTTTGTGTTACTTTCAAGACCATCTTTCCCTGTCACCATGATATAAACAGAGAAATAAAGATATAAACCATAATACTTTGGAAAAGCCAAGGGATAATGTGGTAAAATGGAAAATTTGCAGGTATATTGTTGTTCCTTGTGGATAGTCTGTTATTCTATAATAACAGTAACTTTTCCCTAAAACAACGGTGAATATTTCGTACCACCAAGAATAGAAACTTTCATGCTACCATCATTTTTTTGTTGTTGTTTGTAATGTTTTTTATAATTACATTCAAAGCTCAGCAATCTCATTCCAGAGATTTTTCCAGATGGGTCACTCAGTGCAGTTTCATGCACTGGTCATTGGCTCATTGGCCTCATGCCTTCAGGCACCGCAACGCACATGCCTACAGGGTAGGAGAGTTGTCATTGTTCAGCTCAGAGAAGAGAAGTCTCCAGGGAGACTTTATAGCACCTTCCAGTACCTAAAGGATAGGTTTAGGTTGGATATTAAGAGGACATTCTTGACTGTGAGGGTGGTGATACAGTGGAACAGGTTGCTCAGAGAAGTTGTGGATGACCCATCCATGGAAGTGTTCAAGATCAAGTTGGATGGGTCTTTGAGCAACCTGGTCTAGTAGAAGATGTCCCTGCCCATGGTAGAGGAGTTGAATCTAGATGATCTTTAGGGACCCTTCAAACCTAAACCATTCTGTGATTCTGTGAACCATTGACTCCAAAGCTGCAGAAAATATGAAATTTGTAAAAGAAGCTCTCTCACTTTTCTAAACAGCAAACTGCTGACTGGCGGGTAGAAGCAATGCTCGGTTCAAAAGGAAAGTATTGCAAAACTTGGTGACTTGCAAAGCCTGATTTCTCCATTCAGTGACTGGGAAGGTGCAGCTGTTAGCTAAAAGTGAAACTGACAATCTTAAGCAAATATATATATATATATGTTTACTGTGGTCCCTGAATACTATAGTCCTCACCTACATGAGATTTTTTTCACTTGAGCAGGAACCAAGTAAGAATTATCTTTAGGCAACTGTTCAGTAAAACAGTTGTAATCCCATTAGGAAAGGTTGCATGGGTACCTTCAGGGACTTCAGCACTGACCGCAGTTTGTGAAAAGCTGGAGTAAGAAGGGATAAATGCCCTCTTTTTACAACTACCATGTGTGTATAGCTCTCTGTTTGCGTGTCCTAGTTGAAACAAATCTATTTAAACTAACATTTTCGAATGTTATTTCTTTTCAGCTATTGATCTCATAAATAATTTGTTGCAAGTGAAAATGAGAAAACGCTACAGTGTCGACAAAACATTAAGTCACCCATGGTTACAGGTATTTCCACAGATTCTATGTTTTTTACTTATGCATTCAGACTCTAAGCATATAAAATACCTTAATCTTTAAGCACAGTTGAATCTAAGAAAATCTGCAAACCTAAAAACGTTTTTAGCTCCTGAGAACCTCATGCTCCTTCACCAATTTGCCTATAGTTTCTCATTAATTTCTGAAGTATTAGATTCCAATACTGAAATGTTTCGTGCTTTCAAATATACTACAAAAATGTTTTATCATAGTTATCCACTGAGAAAATTATGTGTATAAAAAACCACCCTTGTAGTCATTTGACTTATACTATATCATTGCCTGGAGTTTACCCTGATTCATTTCTTATTAAAACTAATTAACGGGCTTTCACTTTACAATCATCAGAAGAACTAGTGAGGTTGTATGCTTTCCAGGAAAATATTAACCACCTTCAGTTGAATTCTTCAACTAAAAACTAGATGCAAGGAATTTTTGAGATGCTAGCAGCCTCTGTCTTGTGCTCACCGTTTGGTAATGGTTTTATCCTGGCAGCAGCCAAATCACTGCAAGTTCAAGGCCTAAGACATTCAGTGAGTAGCCAGGGCATTGGGTTACTCTCTGGGGATGGGGACAGGCTGAGGCCAGACTGGTACACCAGCCCATCAGATCTCTCAGGGGAGCCATGTTTGCATCTAGGAAAGTAATTGTGATTCAGGCATGGCACAGATCAATTGTGTAATCCACAATTTCAAAGGAATCTGTATCAAAACAGAACACTGAATCCTACTCCAGTACCTTATAGCTGCTACTATTTCTCAAAGTAGATAGTGACCTGCTGGTATAGAAGGAAAAGGGGTGTAACCTCCCACCCTGCACCCCACCTTCCCCAGGGACATTTATCATGGGCTTACTTCCACCCAGATTTCCTATCTTCCTCCAAGACTGCTCTTCTCTCTGGCAATCATTGCATAATGCATTTGCCTGAGTCTTTGGGTACCAGAGGTGGTCTGCACTACAGTCTGCAGCAAGGGTGCTGGCTGTCTCACAGGACAGGACACGGTCCTTCACCTCTTTGCTTGTGCAGTAATGAGGGGAGGTGAACTAAGATGAGGCAGTACAGCAGCAGCTCTAGCATCATGGGTGGGATGAATCCTCTTTCTGGAAGAGCCCTACCTTGTGGGCTAAGGAAAGGTAACAGTGGTACAGGGCAGTGAGACTTAGAAGTGTTCTCTGAGAGGATGACTGTGTAAGAAATGGGCCAAAGGATGTGAGATAATAAAGATGAAGGCTTTTATGCATTTACAGGGTTTGGGCTTTCTGGTGCTTTGGCTAGGTGGTCAAGGTTGTGTCTTAGGTTGAGACAAGATGACAGAATAAAAAGAGAACTGAATACAGGATCGTGAGGAAATATTAGTCTGCATGGGGTTGGCATTGGGTCTATTACTGCAGCTTTATGTATGCTTTGGGTGGAAATAAGAAAAGAAATTATTAAACTTGTTATATACTTTAGACAGATCAGATGCTGCAGTTAATGATGGTCTAAACAGCGTGAGACTCAAACTAGGCTTCCAGCCTCACTGTCTGTCAACATGGAGTTCCAAAGTATGTTGATGTTTAGATTTATATGTTTCTTTGAGCACACCAGTATTTGCTCAAGTTCGGAAAAGGAGGTTTTTTCTAGCCCAAGCTGAATTTATGTTCTGCATCATTATACTGAGATGGAGGAGCTGTCTTGACTATCTGATACAGATCACTAGCATGTAAATATATGATTTAAATATGTTTCTTCTTCTGTATTCATCTTGTGACTAGGGTGAGGAACTGCTTTACCACCCTGCCTCATTTAGACATTATGGCAATCTGTACATATCCATACATTCTACCAAACAACTTGTAACATCTCAATACCAAACAATCCTCTAGAGATGAAATTTTTGTCTTTAGGCAGATTTTGTGTTTATATATTATAAGATTTTTCCATTCTAGTGCAATAGGAATGACCCTTAGATAGCTGAGTTAATAGCATCTGCACACTGTTTATAGCTGAAGGGAATGTAATTTATTTAAGGAAATCTAAAACTAATAGTGTTATTCTATTTCAGGACTACCAAACCTGGTTAGATTTAAGGGAACTGGAATGTAAAATGGGGGAACGTTACATCACCCATGAAAGTGATGACTCCCGATGGGAACAGTATTCAGGAGAACATGGATTGCAGTATCCAGCGCACCTTATCAGTCCAAGTGCTAACCATAATGAAAACACCAAGCTAGAAGAAACAGAAATGAAAGCCCTCAGTGAGCGTGTCAGCATCCTTTAAGTTGCATCCCCTATAATCTGTCAAAACACTGTGGAATTAATAAATACATACGGTCAGGTTTAACGTTTGCCTTGCAGAACTGCCATTATTTTCTGTCAGATGGGAACAAAGCTGTTATGCTGTTACACTGTTGATATATCTGAGTTGCCAAGACAAATCAACAGAAACATTTTTGTGTGACCAACTGTGTTGTATTTACAAAAGTTCCCAGAAACACTAAACTTGTTATTGTGAATGATTCATGTTGTATTTAATGTATTAAAACCTGTCTCCACGGTGCCTTTGCAAACTAGCATTTTTCTTGAGCCTCATTTTGGTAAGAGAGAACTTTCCCATGAAGATCTGGGGGTTTTGTTGTGCATCGTTAGTATTGTAATTGTAAGCAAACTCTTGAAGAGTAGATTATAACTGCTGTTCTGTGAACAACTTCTACCATTTGGATAAGTGCTTTATTTAGTGTCCTAAGAATAGAAAAGGCAAACAGTAATGATTTGCATAGAACTGTACAGTTTCAAAACAGATAACCTGTGTGTATATGTTTGTCTATATAGATGCAGATACACATACACACAGTATAACTTGCTCTTAAGCCTTAATGCCTTAGTAATGTAAACTGCAGCTTGTCGGTTTGTATTTCCCCTTTTCTTAAAATATTCTTCTCTAATACGAATATTCTCTAGTATGTACATTCAGAAGCTAAATAATGTGTTGACTTTGTGTATGTTTTCAATAAAAGTCTTGTTAAAATAGGTTCATTGATGAAACTTTCTATTTAAAATATCCCTGGAATGGCATCCAGAAGTAGATAAAATAAATTAGTTCATCATTAAGAAGACCATGTGGAAGTAGGTAGGAAAATCTGCTGGCTAACCTCTGTACCTATAAAACATATTTTGTAAGAACCCATTTAGACTGGTTTTATATTGTAAATTCAATCAGTTTTGAAACATACTAAGGAAGTGGGGAAGTTGAGAATGCATTAACAGGAGTTTAGTTTTTAAAAAAGTGTGCTGCCTCTGCTTTTCCACTCAGTTTCACTGAACTGAGAAGGCACTGAAGCTCTTTCTTGCTTTCCTTCCCCTGAAAACTTGAAAGATACTAATTGCCATTTCTAACAATTAGTGTTCCAATGCTAAGCCATTTAGCTTTAACAGTGAGAAACGTTCAGGCTGCACTGTAAAACGTGTGCCAGAGTAAAAAGTGAAAAGCTGAAAATTATTCTATGCCACAGTCTTTATCTGAAAAAACAGTTTATATGTAGATATTGAAGACTGATGTTAAAAATGTAAAGATACATTGGGTGAGAGGCAGAAGTATGCAATGATAAGAAGAACGTATGATAAACCTCCACTGATCCAATCTCAGCTTTGTTACAATCATGAGCTCTGGTAGATAAATCCATTCTTTTGTTAAGAAGAACTTTGTCTAGAGAAAATTTTTACCAGATACATAACATGACTAAAATCAGAAGGATTTTTCTTAGTGTTTTGCACCCCTGCTGGACAGCTAGTGTGTACTGTAGAAGAAATGAAGAAAAGGCACCTTTATTTAAAAAAAAAAAAAAAATTAGAAAATTTAAAAGTATTGTGAAAAATTATTTATAAATCTCTTCTCCCTACGGCCCACCTTCTTCTCTCACTACCAAAAAAGGAGAAATCCATTTCCATTTCAGTTTTACCCTGAAAGAAGCTCTCTGATGACACTGGCCTTGTGACGTGTTCTGAAGCAGCTCTTGTTGGGCGAGTTCAAATGTGTTGAGTATTCTGCCATGCTGTATTTTCTGCCATATCTATATTTTCAGTCAGGATATTTCTACAAGACTAAAATTTGGCTAATCACTGGCCATTGTTTATTTTTCTTTCAACCTTATGCTTAATCTTCAATCAACTGTAAAGTAAACATAAAAATAGACTCAGGCTGATTATCAAATTTCTGTCAGTAAACGTGTATATTTAAAAGACATGTGTATGTTTAAAACACGTGTATGTTTAAAAGAAGTCCACTTAAAGATGCACTGGTGGATTCATGAATATATAAAGATTGTATTGCATTCTAGAAGGACTCCAGGAGTCAAGTCAAAAGGAAAATTATCAAAATCGTACCAACTTTGTTCAGGTACTGATATTGTGACTATTCATGAGGATACAGGACTTCACAAAAGTGCCTTAATTTTGTTTCATTCCTCTATATTAACCAGTAACAGAGATTTAGAGCTCTGCTTTCATACTGATCAATTTAGGTAAGTCAGGTTTTTATTAGTGGCTTGGTTTCATTTACAATTAAGTGTAATTGGGTGTAAAATTCATTTACAATTAAGTGTACCAACTCGTGAGCAAAGGTAATTTTCAACAACAGAAAAATTCTAAAAAATATCAGATAGCATACTGTCACTCTGTTCTCAAGCATGGACAGTAGTCAAGAGATAAAAGAGAAAGCAAACCACTGCAACTTGTAAAAGCATCTCTAAGAAACTGGATGACAAAAATGAAAACAGTGCAAGTTTTAATTGGAAGGACATGGAAGGAAGAACATGAGTACTTATACTAAATCCTAACATCTGCTGATTTCTGCCATGACAACAGTTAGCATGTGTATTTTTTTTGCTAATCACAGACTTACAGTAATAAACTTATTTAATCTCATGGAGCACTTTTGATAAAATGTTTGCCAACGGAACAGAGACAAAAGTATAAACAAATTACTAACCTCTAAATATGATTTCCAAGGAACTCTTGTTTAATTACTAGGGTCATATTATATTTTATTCCTGTCCATGCCTGTTTTGGGGTTTTTTTGAGCACTGAAGCTTGCTTCATCACTTTAAGGAACTTGTTGCGCAAATATTCATTGCTTTTCAAAAAAGAATTGCCATTACCCAATATAATAAATTAAAATTTTCCCTGCTTCTGTTCAAAAATGTTGCACTGTGAAATCTGAACTGTTTGCATTTCAGCCAGACAGATGAATTCACTGATTCCTCACTCAAAGCCTAAATGGAAATTTGCTCTTTCAGATTCATCAGCGTCAAAATGTACTGAAGCAAATGTGGAACTGTGTTGTCCTTGCTTGCATTACTGAGGAAAAAGGAATGGTAGGCTACTCTGTAGTAATGTTTCCATGGCCTTTACCATTTTACATTAGGCAAACAGTTCCTGCACGTGCAACATGGAAGCAAAACCAGCAGTGGTTCTGCTGCACACAAGTATTGACCTGAGGATGTGCTTTTTCTCCTGTGCTATGCTATGTCCTATACATATCAAGTATGTGTGTACAATCATACGTCTGTAGGTGAGTTTATTGTGCCAAAACTTAGCTGTGGAGTACAGAGAAGTACCCAACACTCACTTGGAAGCCAGAAGTTCTGATTTATGTTGCTATTTTCACTTCTACCATCTTTAGTCATTCAGATGCACTTTGTTTATCCAGTGTCTTATCCAGGCAGTTTAACTAAATGAACAAGGTGAGCAAAAAGCACGGACTTTTGCAGTTTGTACAGCTCAACTGTTGTACAGCTGTTGTACTCCACCATGCGGGACCATCCATCCATTCAAACGTCCACACCGTCGCATGGGTGGAAGGAAGTCCTGTCAGTATGCCTTTTGTCCAGTTGTCTCAGATGCTACATAAAACCTCCTTGTTCTCAGCAGGATCTCTTCAAAAGTAGTTGGGTATTCTGCCTTCCCCTTCTTCCTCTTCTTACCCCTCTGTACCTCACTCCTGAAAAGCCTTCCTAGAGTCTCACCTGTCCATGAAATAGAAAATTGTAAATCCTACCCTTGTGCCAAGGCAATAAACATCTGGGTTTTGTGTTAATAATGGTCCTTTTTGTTTGACAGGTTAAACAAAGCAGGTTATTTATTTTGCATCTTTTTGATAAATCAACACCTCTTCTGCACACCTGAATTTATTCTGGACAATGATGTCATAGAGGGGACATGGAAAATGCTAACAAGCTGAAAAAAACACTAAACCCTTACTGGATTAATAGGAACAGATACTTGGCATCTTGTGAAATTAGGGAGAAAGGAAAAGGAAAAAAACTACTAGGGAAATTGAAAGATTAAATATCTAGGCAGCTTAACCCCCATATAATACTTCAGTCTGTAAGACATAGGGTGAAAAATTGGAGTTGAGTAATTATGGATTATGGTGCACTATTATTTGGCTAGGTCTACTAAAATATTGACATCCTGGAAAAGCTCTGCTTCATGCAGATACTCCAGCGCCCAGTACCTGTAATTGTTCAACACCGCAAACTTTGCTAAATTATCACTTTCACAGAGAAACTGTTTTTTTCCCCCCCTTAGAAAAGTAGGCCATAATTTATTCAACAAAGGAAGCCCATCACATATTGCACTGGACATCTTCTGCCTCAGCAGACCTATTGCATCTGAACCTAAAGTCTCATATTCCTGGGGTTTCCTGTGCATATACCAGACTGGGAAAGAGCTCAGGCAAATCAAACGTAAAACAGAGGAACTGTCTTGGTAGAGGAGGTGCTTTTCAGTGTTGACAAATTTGACACCTGAACAGGATGCAGAGTTTCAACTCGTTTTTTGCTTCTCTTGTTTCTATCAACTGGAGCAAGTGAATGCTGAAATTGGAGTCTACTGGATGAGCTAATATTTGTCTGTGCTTCTTGCTGAATTATTGCTTTATTTTGGTGAAGAACAGGCAACACACATTATAAGAAGCATAAACGTTTTGCTACCTTACTGAGCACATCTACAAACTTGAACATCAGCTGTTCACAAATAAGAATTTAACAAAAGTCTACTTCAGTTTCAGACTGAAAACTTGCTCTTTTGAAAGGCTCCATGAAATGAAATGTTTTGCTTGGGCATCCAAGCACTGAGGTCCTAAACTAAGGGAATCTATCTCTGCTGTGAGCCTGGAGAACCTGAGGCCTCATGCTGCAGAAGTCTGCCAGGCAGGGTGCCAACCAGGGGAGCTACAAGGAAAACAGGCAGGATGAAAATGTGCCTTTAAGGCAAATGTTGAAATTTGTAAGCATGTGTATGCTACCATAGTTTGATAAAAATTGGCAGATTCTGTTGAAGTATTTCTATCAAGACAAACTATTTTTCAATATAAAATTATGATACATTTGACAGCTGACTTAATGGTAATGACCTCTGACACTTTTAGTGGAGACTGATTTTTCAGAGATTCCCAATAACTACCCTTTGAAAAGCAATTAGTTCATTCTGGTTCCTCCCTTGACTTAGACATGTAAAAATATGAGTTATTTGAGCAGTTAGGTCACTGAATTTAATACATGGAAACTTAACTGGCATAGTCTTCAAAAAAAAAAAAAAATTGACTTGAGGGGCCTGGCTCACGTTTATCAAGTAAACAGCTGCAGCAGTTTAAGATGTTATTGTCTCAGCTTTCAGCTGTTTGCTACTGGCCTTATAGCAAAGGGAAAACAGAATATTTCAACTTTTCTAATTGACACTCAGAAGCATCTAAGCACAACTTTTATCTTGATGTTTAAGTGAATTTTTCACATTGTAAATTAGAGCTGTGGTGCTTCGTTCTGCCAACTCTGACATCTGGAAAAGGGGCAGGAGAGAGTGTGAGGGCATTACACTACTGTAACTGGGTTTGCCAGATGTCATGGGTCAGAGTGCTTAACTGCATTTCTCAGAAGTGAATTATGCTTACGAGCATGAATCCCCGAGGGTTTCTAGGTGTCTTGGGCTTCCTGATTTCTTCTGAAATAGGATTGAAGGTCTTCAATGAGTAGTTAAGGACTACTGATGGCATTGTATGTTTAGTTAGTCATGGCAGATCCATGGGTTTTCAACCTTGTTTAGCACAAATCTCTTAGCCTATTGCTAACAAAGTATTGTGACAAAATAGAATACAGTTTCACAGTGTGTTAGATTAAACTGCACCTGTGCATCTCCTATCCCTGTACAAAATGTGGAGCTCAGTGTAATAAAGAATGCACACACAAAGAGACTAGTCTATCATCACCATCTATCTGGTGGATGATAGCACTTAAATCCTCCACAGTGCTGTATAAAAAAAAAAAAAAAAAAAAAAGCATGGTTACGTGGTATAATTCAATCTTTTGATCAAAAGGAGAGACGTGTCAGTGACTATACTAGAAATATAATTTCTTCTGCTTCTTTTTTTCCCAGCCTTCCAGCCAAAACTGACTTTACATGTCCTCAGAAGCACCTTGTAGCCTAAGGCTCTTGTGCCTTGGGCAGGGGACACTCCCTACCCTCCCTTTAAAAGCCCCTGGCCTTTTAAAAAGCCCTTTTTAAAGGGCTTTTTTTGCTTGCAAAAGCCCCTTTTTTTGCTTGCAAAAGCCCTTGCATCCACCCAACACCTTTTGGATGTCACAGGCCTTGGCTGTTTCCAGATCTACTGTAATCTAGGTGCTTTTGCTTGAAAGGAGGCTCAGGCAGCTTTTGGACAGAAGGAAGAAGACTGCCTACCAGCTCTTGCTCTCTTAGGGAAGGCAGCATATGAAGATAAGAGCTCTGCAACTTTGGGAAGGAGACAACAGAGGGGAAGGCTAGGTAGTGCAGAGGATGCCAGACTAGTATTATAAATGATGTAGTATTTATCATGCTTATTAACCCTCCTATCACAAATATTTAAAATCATGGTCGACATACTCTGACTAATTTGTTTTGAGCAGACTTATTCATGTATTCATAGCCTTAAGGGTGATGAAATTATTAATTTATTACTCTAATCCTCTCTTAATATTTGTACTCTTTTTTTGACTAAGCTAGGGCATTTATCACTAAAATAATATTGGCACAGCTTCTAGAGTAGGTATATTTATATGAGTACAAAAGTATCTCATAGCTATAGTGGTTAAATCCCTACTTATACTGAAATAGGTATACAAGTATGACTGGATCCAGACAATAATATCACTTCAACTAAATCCTCATAAATAGCCCAACTTTACTGTTCAGACAAAGCCTTAGCCTCCCTTTCAAAACACTTTGCCAAGTATCTGTCATCATTTTATGATGTGAACAATCATGGATTTGCTTGAAATCACCAAAGCAATCTCTTTGGAGCCAAGTGGGTAATATTACCATTCTAGAACTCATACCAGTGATCAAAGACAAATATGCCAGGGCATTGCCAATTTTCTGAGCCATCCAGTAAGCATTACCTTGTGTTGACTGATTTGCATGATAATTGTAAAATAAGAGACTGTGTGATTTCACTCAATTCCCAATACATTTTCATACTTTTGGACTAATTTTTTTTTTTTTTTGGTCTTAGATGCTTATTAACAACTTCTTGTTTCCAACCCAGCGCAGGCTTTATGTTTTTAAACTGTAATATTCAGTAAGGCGTCATCCTTGGAGAAAAATGGAAACGGTGAATTTCCCTGGGACATCCCTGGCGGGAGACGCGGGTCCCGCCGCGTGCGCTCTCGCCACCTACCGGCCAGCCGCGGTACCGCCGCCGGGAGCGCAGCTCGGATGCATCGGAAGGCCCGAGGCTTTTCCCAATATTAATCAGTGATCACTCTGTTTTTACAAAGCCTTAGGCACACGGGGAGTATGCGATATGCCAGCCTTACTGTGGTATTAAGGTAGGTAGGTACTAAATCTCCTCCTGTCTGATGTCAGAATGTTTTGGAGTTTCCACCGCTGGTAATTAGTCTGTGTTTCAGAACAATAAGGTTCCCCTCTGCCTGCCA